AAACCCATATCCTTCATGTCAAATCTCGAATTTAACATGTCCTTGGTAGATTTGATCATTCGATCGTTACTACCCACGATGAGTATATCATCCACATATAAAAAAAAAAATGACATAACCGTCTATCGTTTCCTTAACGTAGACACACTTGTCACTTTCATTTATATTGAACCCATTGGTTAACATCGCATGGTCAAACTTCTCGTGCCATTGCTTAGGCGCTTGTTTTAAACCATATAACTATTTAACCAATTTACAGACTTTCTTTTCTTGGCCTGGAACCGCAAAACCCTCAGGTTGTTCCATATAGATTTCTTCATCTAACTCGCCATTCAAGAAAGCTGTTTTCACATCCATTTGATGAACTTCCAAATTCCGCAGTGCGGCTATGGCAAGTATCATCCTTATGGAATTTATTCTCGTTACGGGAGAATACGTGTCAAAGAAATCAAGGCCCTCGTGTTGCCTGTAACCCTTAATTACAAGTCTAGCCTTATACTTCTCAATGGAACCATCAGGTTTCAACTTCCGTCTAAAGACCCACTTGGATCCCAAGGGCTTACTACCCGGAGGAAGATCAACCAGTTCCCAAGTGTGATTCTGTAGGATAGAATCCACTTCACTCTTTATAGTCTCTTTCCACATTGGTCCTTCCGTAGAAGTCACAGCTTCTACATACGTTTGAGGCTCGTTTTCTAACAAACATGTCAGAAAATCCGGTTCATTTTCTAGTAAAAAAGTTAGAATATGCGTATCACATTCTAACATGTACGTCAGAAAATCTGGACCAAAGGATTTTTCAATCCTAACTCGCTTGCTACGTCTAGCTTCGAGCTCGGGTTCTATTTCAGACCCTCCACTGCCGTTATCCACAGCCTCGTCGAATGCTCGTTTCGACGTACTAGGTCCCTCACTGGACCTACACGGAAATACATCTTCAAAGAACGATGCATTCCTTGATTCAATTATCGTGTTCTTATGTACGTCCGGATTATGGGACTCGTGTGCTAAGAACCAATATGCACTACTTGTAACACCCCAGATTTTCAGGACATTTAAAACTTATAAAATAAAGGTGAAATCTCATTTATTCAAAACGTAACATAAAGAGTACGGGGTGCTATGCCACACCTGAGCTAGAGAACTCAGGTGCACAGGCCAACTAACTAATATCCTTAATAAAGTAAATGCATAACATGGCACACAGGCCGAAAGGGAAACTATCTACTTCTACGTTTCAAGATCTAGCGCGCTCCAGTGACTTATTCTTCTGTGCCTGAAAGCCAAATATATCTGTTCCTTATTAATTTTGGTGCTGCGCCTTTTGCTTATTTTAAGAATTGCCGCCGGCGTCCGAATGTCTTATGTAATTACTAATTAGCGTTGCGCGACTTCGGAGCCTTGTGCTGATTTCTGGGAACGCCTATGGGAAATTTTAGACGCGTCGAGCCAAGCGCTCAACACATCGAACTTGTTGTGTACGCGTCCTTTAGTCCACTTTGATTTTAATTTTTTTTTAGAGTAACGTTATCAATTAGAGATAATGTGAGGAGAATGTAAGAGTGATTAGGAAAGAAAATGTGAGAGGAAAAAGAAAAAAAAAATCAAAACTGATTTTTTATTAAAAAAATAATATAAAAAGTATGGTCAGGCGCGCGCGTGCATTGCACGCGCCCGTGTGGGCAGCTGCTGTGCGCGCAGCCCATGCTCCTTTTGTTTTCTTTCTTTCTTTCTTTTCTACCATTCTTCTCAACTTTGCAGGCCAATTCTTCCCCATTTTATTTCTTCCCCACACTTGTTATTAATCCCATTCAAGTGAAAGCATATGACATTATCCTCCATTCCTTCCCTGATGGGGATGCTCTTAGAACTTCCCTTGCTCATAGAATTGACCTACAATTGTTCAAAAACACTAACAAACACCATAAAACATCCAAAACAAGTGTGAACCATAACTAAATGATAAAACAAGAGATTAAACAATTAAATTACCAAAACTATGGACTCAAACCTATCAAATATAATTAAATCAATACTAGAAATATGTACAATTGGACTCACATCACCCGCACAACCACCGCCCACCGCCACACCGCCCCGAACTGCAACCGACATACCTTTCGATGCCTTCTTCTTCCCAATCATACAGCCACAGCTGTAGACGCACATCCTTCACCGCATCAGACCATAGATGCACCGCCGCAAGCTACATTTTAAGTATTTTTTTTTTTAATTTCAATTTCTGAATTATTAGAGTTACAATAATTATATTTGGAATTATTTATTAATGTATTTCAAATTTTAAGAATTATTAATTAGGTATATATTATGAATTTTATAAGTTAATTGGTTATATATTTAGAATTATTAGTTTGATATATTTGTATTTTATGATTTATTGATATTATATTTTGAATTATTATTAATTTATTTTAAATTTTAGCAAATAATGTTGATATATATATATATATATATATATATATGTGTGTGTGTGTGTGTGTGTGTGTGTGTGTGTGTGTGTGTGTGTGTGTGTGTGTGTGTGTGTGTGTGTATTTTAAGATTTATTGATATTATATTTTAAATTATTATTAATTTATTTTGAATTTTAGGAATTATTATATTGTTATATTTTGAATTATTTTAAGAATTATTGTTAGGAATTGCATGGTTGAACCTTAAAAGAAGTGTTTATTTATTACTAGGAATATTAATCAATAAATATCTTGTAAGAATTAAATAACATGATGTTCCACCATGTTAACAAAAGTTTATTTAGGGTTAATATTATTTTAGATTGACTTGTGATGGATAAAAGTTGAATGAATGCTTCTCGAATTAGTACGGAATATGAAGACAGAGTTAGAGAATTTTTAGACTTTGCAAAACGTCGTCTTCCAAATAATAATTGGATGTTTTTTTGTCATGGTAAGAAGTGTTGTAATCTAAGAAAATTAAATTAGGTGCAGACGACGTATATGATCATCTAATTTGTGATGGAATTAATCTAAGTTATACAAAACGGATATGACACAGTGAAGGAGGAGGATGGACTAGTACATCTAACATGTATGTTGACAACGAAGCAAATGAAGATGATGAGTCTGAAGATCAGTTGGATGAAATGTTTCGTGATGTTGGAGGAGAGTTCACCAATCGATCAAATGAGTTTGATGAATTATTAAATGATCCAAAACAACCTTTTGTGGCCATGGTGTAGTAAATATACTCGGTTATTTACTGTTTTGAAATTATTCAACTTAAAAGTTAGGAATGGGTGGAGCGACAAGAGCTTTACTGCTTTACTTGATTTATTAAAGGATATGCTTCCAGAAGCTAATGAACTTTCGAAAAGTACATATGATGCCAAGAAAACAAACCTAATGATTAAACTGCTAAAATTTAATAGACTCAACTGATCCACAGAACGTAACACAAAATAAACCTAATGAAACCTAACACAAAGGGGGTGTTTGGTTGGCATGAATTGCATTGACATTGACATTGAATTGCAATTCAATGAAATGATAAACTACATTGTTTGGTTTAAAGGAATTGCAATTCCCTCAATTTATTGAATTGCAATTCATCCATACAATGAAAAGGGAAAATGAAGGAAATGATATATTTGTCCTTGAATGTTATTATTAATATTATTACACAATGGTATTTTAATCTTTATATCACTTATCCCATTTCCATTATTCCTCCCTACCAAACAATGTAATTATAATTCTTACTTTATTCCCACCTTATTCTTTTCCCACCGAATTACAATTCCTTTCCCCCTTGATTCCTTCCTTCCAACCAAACGTCCTGAAAATAAACCTAATGACTAATGGCTTTTAGGCGGGTGGGGTGTTTTCTGTCGGGGCCCTAAATTTTTAATTTCATTTGTTTTTATTTGTTTTTTTTTTTTAAATTTCATTTGTTTCCCGTATGTGTACACATGAGGGTGCATTCCCCGAGAGGTCACAAATTGTACACTAGATACCAAAATGACCCTGCATGAAAAAAATGATCCAAAGGAGGAAAAGCGTGTCGCAGGAGACCGACTCTAGGTGTTGTAAAGTCAGTCTCCACGAGACCGTCTTTATTATTTTACAAAGTTGGTCTCTGCCAGACCATCTTTATTTTTAAAACTAATACTAATCTAGTGTATTCCTATTTTTATGGTATATATATATATACGGTATATTATATTATTATGGTATATATACTATCAAGCAATATAAAATTAATTCAACGACTCATGTTTAATTACAATTCATATATATAGATTATCATAAAATAAAATGTAATGATTGTAAAGAAGAAAGTCTAACGACTCACGTTTAATTGTAATTATACTATAAGGGAAAAATAGTACTTTTCCCCTTGTGTTATATACTTATAGCACTTTTTCTCCATAAATTATTTAAGTGGCATCGTTTTCCCCTGATATATTAAACAGAAGATCAAGTTAAAAATAATAATAAATAAATAAATAAATCAATCAAATCTCGACAAGTGATTATAATTACTTTAAAATATATTATTATGTAGGTGGATTATAATAAAAGAAACGTAAATAAAATAAAAATTTGGTAATCTAGTCAACAAAAATTTAAAGTTAATCTTGTTAAAAATGTTAATTGCTATTTTTTTTTTTTAAGTTCAATGGCTTATTTGCTCTTTATTTTCAGATTCAATGGCTTATTTGATGATTATTTGAGTTGGAGGGTTATTTGAATTCATTGCTGTTTCTCAAATAGTTCAGTGAGGCTTATTTGTACTTTATCCCTTTTTATTAATTGTATATATAGATTATAACAAATTTAATTATTTAAATTCTTAATTAATCATTGCTAATCAATTTTATCAAACTATATTATTTAATTAATTCTAAATACGTACGTACAAATATAATACCTATATTTTGTTTCTTTTTTTTTCTTTTTTCTTTGAAGTTATAACAAATGGACTCAAGGAGACCATTTCTACACAATCTCCTTGAACACGACTTTCCCTAGTTAGTACCCATGCAGGCCTATATTGGTATCCACTATTGTTTTGTGCCTAATCTGAGTTATGATTCTACACATGACACCGCAACCAATGTTCAGACCCGACTCCGCGAGATCTGAAGCCTGCTGCAGTGCTGCGAGAAGAGGCGAGAGCTGCAAGGTTCAACTCCCTTCTCCGCCTGAGTTCCGACGCCACCACCAGCGCGGCAGCGCCACCGGCCACAACTCAGAAGTCTGCCTCAAATCTCAACTTCAAGGTTCAACTCCGATCCCTTCTCAGTTCAATACCCTTTGTTCATTGAATTCAATACTTCAATTTGTTTGCTTAATTCTCCTCTGCTCACTGCCCATGTTTACCTAATTTTGCCCTAATTTGATTTTGCTCTAAATCTTAATTTGCCCTAATTTGAATATTTGACGCAAGGTGTTTTACTCCATTTTTTATTTTCACTAATTTGAACCGTTCTGATGAATTTTGTTGTAGCTTCAAAGTGTTATGGCATCATTTGTGTGGCAGTGGGTTCATGTTTATGCCCCTTTTGTTCTTAATTTTTTTGGTACTTTTTTTCTTCCAAAGTTAACCTATCAATTTTCTTCAGTATGTATATCCTGGTCATTGACACTATTAATTATTAAACAAGAACAGTACTGATGTAAGTCATGTAACTCTAATCTATAATTTTTTTTTTTTCCCATACTGTAAGAACAATTAACTGACCCATTATTAGCAATTAGTTATTCTTCATTGAATTTCAACTCTTTTATACAATGTGGTACACTGGCAATTTTAGTTTTAGAGAAGGAAAGGGAAAGTGGTAGTTTTTGCCATTAAGTTATATGGAAATAGCAGACTGCTTAAATAGGGTGTCCTCAAACCTTGGGGGTTGGGTGCATAAAAGGTTCAGTATTCCTCGCTCTGTTAATTTTTCTTTCTGCTTCTCCCCTTTGAAATTATTTGAAAGCTTTAGAGCTGGAAATCACTTTAGCCACAGGGTCTACCAAGGTTACACATTTATGTGTTTCACATGTGATAAGCCAGTAGATTTAAGTTACAATTGAAACTTTACTGCATTGCATGTTTAAGTGTTTATTTCATTATGAACTCCGCCCTTTCTAGCTTATAGGTTTTGTAAAGCTATCTAGATCATGCATTTTTTCATATACAAATGGCTGTTCAGGTGTTTTCAACTTCCCATGCAGCAGAAGAGATGATTGATAGAAAGGTGTATTCTAATGCTGACTTCCTAAGAAGAGAATGCACAATTGAAACCAGTGGAGATTGTCTGTTTCTTGAGAAAATAATGATGAATGATTGGTTTCTTGTACTTATGACAATGTTTTTATCATATCTAGGCAGATGTAGCTCAATTAATTACCAAGGCACTTCTTATACTTATGACAATGTTTTTATCATATCTAGGCAGATGTAGCTCCATTAATTACCAAGGCACTTCTTATCTTATTTCCCTGTAGTGTGTCATTCTCCTGAGTTGAAATGATGATGATTGGATAAAGTTGCAGTTTAAGAATTTGTATTTTCATTTGAATTAATAATAGTAGTGGATGGAAATTGGTACTAAAACAATAATCGTGGATAAAAATTAATAGAAATTAAACATATGAAGTAAAGTCTTCATTTTGTTAATACTCGTGGGACTAAAATTAATATTTGCTCATTTTAAATTTTACAATACACACGCGCATAGGTAACAAAAAAAAATTTATGGATTGAACTTGGATTAATTAATTAATTTAATAATTCAAAATTAAATTTAGTTGAGATAATTAATTTAATTATCATAGTCTAATGATCCAGTAATTAATTTCAAATTAGGCATAATAATCATTTTTTGGAGGTAAAAACTTAGCATTAAATCACGAGCAAGATGGCTTACAAGAAAAGTAGGGGTATCATACCACTCCTCCCTAGTAACAGTGTGAGCGACAATCGCTTAACAAACCGGAATTTCCAAAACTAGAATAAAAGGAAGCAGAAGAAGAAATTGCATGAAAAACAGTTTGGGAGTCCATCCCCACCTCTATACTACCCATACCAGTATCCTTTAGCCAGCTCAAAGCCTCTCTCAAGCTAATTGCCTCGGTTGCTAATTGCCTCGGTTTAACAGTAAAGGTGCCAGACATAAGCAAAATCATTTTAATAACACATACATTCCGAGTTCAAATTTTTCAATGTCTACACTGAGCTTCAAACTCTCTATTAAAATCTTAGTGCTTTTAAATAAAATAAAGACGTCAATAACTTTGTAGTCTAGTGACTAAGTTGCTTTCTAAGTTTGTGGGTTTAAAATTGAGTCTTTATATTTCAGTACTCTACCGGATAAATTGGTATTACTGACAATCTGACTCTTGCGTTGAGAGCGTTGAAGTATGCAAAGCAATTTCCCAGTTTCATCAGATGCAATTTCAATCATCTCTTCTTCCCTCATATAGCAAAAATGGAGGAAACATGTTTCGAACCGCGGCTTCGCATGTAGACCTCTTTCCTCAACTCTATCATGGCTGGCTCGGCTAGCTCAAATTTGAGAATATTGCCCAAACAGTTCACTTTGATAATATTCGCCATGTTTTGTGATGGATGAGTCTGGGCTGGATTAATTACTCTTATTTATATAGTGTTGTCATGCTTCAGGAACACCGGCACAGAGCTCATGACCGAACAACCATATATTGTTCCATGGTAAACTCATGAATTCAAAATGCTTTGACTCATGAATTCAAAATGCTTCCTTGTCACAAGAGGACCTGTACCATATATTACACATTTAAACACATAAGTGGAAGTGGCTACCCCCATATTTCATCTTTCTGGTATACAAGCTAAGACGAGCGAGTGAAGTTTTCATTTGCATCATCTATATTTAATATTTGTTTATGTCTTTAAATAATTTGGTTTCTTGGTGGTGTATCATGTATGTACACCCCCCCCCCCCCCTTCACTCCAAAATGAGACAGATGATTTCTAGTGTTGTAGTAGATGTGTTGCTTCTGTAACTTTTACAGAGAATAGGAATGTTATTCAATAAAGAATGGAATTGGTACCGAATAGAATATGAATTGTATTCTATTTTCTGGTTAGTTGAATGAATAGACTTTAGAAATTGTATTCCAATGTTCCTGTTGGTTAAATGAATAAAAATGGAATATGGTGATTTTTGTAATTCATCATTAGTATAAGTGTGAGACTATTTATTAATAGGGTTCAAATTTTCTTATATATAAAAGAAATTTAAACCAATAAATTTTTATATTAGGATATTAAACAAAAAGTAATTAAAAGAAAGAGATAAAAGTAATTTGAGCTAACAGGCTTGGCCTAGCTCAACCCACATTAATTACATGCATGATAGCTTGGCACACATATATACAAGACTGTGTCATGTCGGCCCAAGCATAATATGTACAGTCGTTATATCGTGCACCGCGGTGCATAATCGGATTAAACCTGAGAGATTGCAGCTAGAAATATCTAAAAATTTCAGTAATTGAAGATTTCCAATGGACTCGAGTAATTCTCCATGAAAATTTGTGTCATTAAGTGACAAAATTTGCAAAGAGGTGTGTTTTGGAAACTCTGGAAACTGGCCACTCAGAAGGTTATTATTGGAGATGTCAATGGTTTTCAATTTTGAAAGGCGAAAAACATTTTCTGGGAAATCTCCATAAAACTCACAAGAAGTAGCCAAATTGAGAGTTTCCAAGTTCATGAAATTCTCCAAAATAGTGGGAAACTCAGAAGGCAGATTGTTATAGCTAAGCTGCAAATAAGACAACGATTTTAGTGTTGCAAATGAAGGGCGGATTGGACCATTGAGACCACAACTGGACAAACTTAAAACTTCAAGATGAGGCAATGCAGAGGATAAGACTTGAGACCAGTTAGAGCCTTGAGCTGAGAGGTCTACACCATCAAGATACACATTTTTTAAAGAATTCAGATTCATAAAAAGAGATTTAAGATTTGGTTTTCTTAGCTCTACAGATATCGAGGAAAGATCAAGAGACACCAACCTTGTCAGCATCGAAATCCCCACAGGAATCTGACCAGAAAAACTGGTATACGAAAGGTTAAAGTAAGTCAAATTCCTGAGTTTCTCCAACTTCGAAACGGAAATGGAGTGTAGTTGAAATTGTTGCAAGAAAGATTGAGAGTTTGAAGATGGTGCAGATTGAAAATGGGAAAACTTTCACCGGACATCATACTGAAACTGAGGTCGAGTCCGATGGCATAACCGGTGGCAAGGTCACAAGAAACGCCATCCCGACTACAGCAATCTTCCTTCATATTCCATTCCATCATCTTCTTTGAAGAGTTCTTCTCGTCACATGGATAAGACGGTGGGGGTGAATGATGGTTGAGAGCTCTCAGCTGCGACAGTGCTAACCATTGGCTGTGTACACATTTTTTGGTTGTGGTACTACTTGACAACATCAACATGGAAGAATTGAAGATGAAGATGAAGATACAACAACCACCACAATACTACGTACTCTGCAACACAATAAAAACAAATATGAGAATTACTATGTTTAAATATGTCATTTTGTGTATTATGTTTATGTTGGAAGGTGTGGAGATAATATCTAATGTCTATCCATGCAAGAAAAGTGCATATTATAGGGGAGCTAATATATAGAGGAATGACCGGTGACATTTTATTTTTAAATTACTTTTTCTTTTATCACATATTTTTAGTAACTAGCTTAATTACACATTTCAATAACTTCGCCGATGAGTTGTCTATTAATTAGTCCTCATGGTTTGAGTTCATCAATTATTGACTATTCCACTCTTCGTTGTTAGAGTAGAATTAATTTTTATTCACCCATCATCCGTTTGAGTGTACAATATATCAATTATTTCATTTCATTACAAAAAATCCAAATCAATTTTGACCTTACCCAAATCAAAAGTGGACCTTATATATATTTGTACCACAAAATAGCTATTTAAAATATCATTTTATGCTATTTTTCCAACGAATTGAATTTTAAATTTAATATTTGAATTCCATTAGTGCTAATAAATTTCATTTCTCCTATAAATACTTGTGTTTCGCAGAATGATTGTAGTTACCACGTATTTTTATAATAACTTCATAACACTTATTTTCTTCTTTCTCTCGTAAACCTATTTTCTTCTTTGAACATTCCTGCCAACACTTTGATATCAAAACTTACAAAGTGCTCACTTCCTTGAACATTATATTTGAGTGCTCAAATATATCATTGTAATCCATTTTATTCTGAGAGACTAATGCTATAACATTCGTACCTAGTAGCACACATGATTTCAATTTTTGTTTGAGATTATGTTTTTTAAAAATTCAAATTAAATCCCATTATTTATATTTTTATTTGATTTTATCTACTGATTCTCCTACAATTTCATCATTGACAAAGTGACAACCGCCTTTAGATAAAGAATAATGGCACGTTTGGTTCGCGGAATGAATTTTGAAGGAATATGAATACTATTTCATCGGGAATGGAATAGGTAAGGAATAGAATAGAAATTGTATTCTATTGTTTGGTTTGGTGAAGGAATAGACTTTAGGATGTTTGGTTGGTTTAAGTAATTGAAATGGAATATATGTGTAAAATACATAATTACCCTAATACAAAATATATAATATTATTATGATGATGATTATTATTATTATTATTATTGTTGTTGTTGTTGTTGTTGTTGTTATTATTATTATTATTGTTATTATTATTGTTATTATTGTTATTATTATTATTATTATTATTATTCCGGGCGAAAGGAGAGAAAATGGGCGATTTTTCCAAAGAGGCGATCGATTGCTTCCGGGCTGGAGGTCCACTGTCGCGACCTTCCAGGGCATTCGTCCGGCATCCCCAAGGCCAGTGCCACTACAAGCAGATCGATCGATGCTGGTGAAGACGTCTCGCAATCTTCAGCCTTCGTTTGCGACGTCTGAGGGGTCGTGATCTTTTTCATCCCTCGACTTTTTCGCCGGCGACGACTCTGGCGGGCGATGACTAGTCTTCACTCATCGGAGATGTTAGGGAGACCCAGCGGAGGGATTGCCATGTTCAGATTGATGATCGCATGCCGGTTGCAATCGCGGAAGGTCAGACACAACACTCGACTTTGGGGCTGTTTCCGGTGGCGGAGGCTGCGCGAAGGCAGTCGGAGGATGGGGAAGGGTTCGTGAGTGAATGGCGAGCAGTTCCCTCTAATAAGATCGAGTATCGCCGGCGTCCAGGTTTTGCGGAAACAGTATCGCCGCTGGTAGGATTCCACCTGGCTACGGTGGCTGTTGGGGCGCGGGCTAGGTGGCTGTTGGCACTCCTTAGCATGTGTCGTACATTCTGGAGAATTTCCTCCGATGTGTCAGACGATCGCCCACCCCTGGCCGTGCTCCCCTCCATGAGGCGAGATGAACTGCTGATTGTTGTATATTTGCAAAAAAATAATACTCAGAGTACGAGTTATCGATCCACAAGGAAGTGGTTGTATTAAGCACTAGCTATTAAATTATTCTTTCAAGCTAATCCTAACAATTGACTTGGATGGTTGCATAAAATAAATAAATAAAATTAAGCAATGATTCAGGATAATGAAAGCAAAGTAGAGAGATTGAGATTCCTGGGATTAAGTGTTTAATCCCCTAGTGCCTAACCTAATGTAATATTAAATATGGGTTCATACGAGTGTGAGGATGCAAAGTGGTATAGAGCTACTCTCGCAGTCACTAACACTAGTGAATATCCACTCTCGTGCGATAATCACCCAATAGAAAAAGAACAAGCATCATAAATTCCTAACTTCTACCATCTCTCGAACTGGCAATAATCAAGAATTAAACTCCCTAAATAAATTACCCTTTCTCAAGGTGCAACAATTAGGTGATTATGTGTGCCCAAAATTATGCCCAACTCTCGTTGTGACACAAAGAAAGCAAACGAAGCAAGTAACTATGGCCACTAATTACAAGCATCAAACAATATAATCACAATTGCAACACACGTATTAAACCCAAATAATAATATATTAAAGAATCTGAGAGCTCAGACACATAGATTCATAAACACTTTTACCCAAGAATCTCTAAAGAATTTAGCCAAGCATGTCTAAATTATACATAGCAAATATATTTAAAGAATTACAAAGCATCAAAAGAGTACATGAATGAACCAGAAGATTCTCTCGAATCTCTCTAATCTTCTTCTTGCTTCCCAAGATAACTTGTGGCTCTTGATTTCTCTCTGTCTTGTCTCCAAAGATCTCTGAATGAATATTAGGATTGAGGAAGGTGAGATTTTATAGTTGGAACCAAACCCGGAGAGAATAGGAATCCCCCTAGGGTTGAGTGAAGATGGGCTTTTAATAGTGGGAGCCCAATAGGGATAAAATAGGAAGTTTCCACAACTTAAATTCTAGCCGAGGACATAGTTCCGATTTTCAGGCTTATTTTGACCATTTTCCCTTCTGATTTGGACTTTGAAGTCTTGATAAGAGTTCTAGCCCTTCGAGTCTTCTTTCCAATGGAACAAGAATTACCTCAGTCTGACATTCCTAGGTCGATATATAGTCCAAAAACCAAACTGTCGCCAATATATTTGAGAACTTTTACTGATGAAACTTCACTGGAAATTTTCGACGCGTCGAGTCGGGGTCTTGATACGTCGAATTTGGCGCTGCACATTAGATTTTAGCCCTTCGAGTCTTCTTTCCAATGGTGCAAGAATCACCTCAATCGGACATTCCTAGCATGAGATATGATCAAAATACTAAGTTGTCGCCAAATTCAGCGGGAATTACAACTCTTTGCTCTTTTGCTCCACTTTTCCCTTGTTTGGTTCTTGTGATCAAATCTATTGAAAGCACCACTCTTTGGCCCCCTTTTTAAGTATTTAAGCCACCTCCCTAGCCTCACATTGACTTTGTTTTGGCTCCAAACTCATCCTAGAACTTTCCTTGCTTTTGCCATTGATCTACAATGGTTCCAAAACACTAACAAACACCGTAAAACATTCAAAACAAGTGTGAACCATGAATAAATAATAAAATAAAGGATTATGCAATTAAATCACCAAAATTATGACCCTAAGCCTAACAAATATAGATAAATCAATACTAAAAATGTGCACAATTAGGCTCACATCAACTGCCCGATCGAATCGCCGGAAGTCGACTACCGGCACCTGGAATTTTGCGAAGGAAAAATTATCTTTTTTCTCTCTGTCACCAGAGCGTTTTTTCCTTAGGCGTGCGGGTGGATTTTCTGGCGGCCTCGGTAGCGTGATCGCCGGCCCCAGTTTGGTAATCGGCTAGCTCCTGAAACGAAGGGGAAGGTGGTGTGGGCCTCGGTGTGGTTGCGGTAGATAATTGAGGTTCCGGCAGTGTGGAAAGAGATGAAAGACATAGAGAAAGAGAGAAACGGTAAAATAGGTAATAAAATATAAAATCTATTCCTGAGAACTTAGGAATAGGTTAATACCAGGGGGCCCCTAGTAATAGCTATTCCCCGTAGGGGGAATACGCCATTCCCAGGAACATTATTTCTGGGAATAAAATTTTTTACCAAACAAAGGAATAGATCTATTACTGGGAATGCTATGTCATTCCAGACCTATTCCGCGAACCAAACGTGCCATAAGAGAAAAGAATGATGGGGTAAAGAGTGAATAAAAGAAGACTTAAAGTAGGTCTTGGCTATACATTTTTTAAACTTATCAAAGTAATAATCTGTTATTTTTTATAGAAAAAATTAGTATTAAATTAAATTTAAAATATTATTAATAACTTTTAGGTAAAGTATTGATTGTAGCAAAGTTGAGTGATAGTGAGACAGGTGAGTGTACGGGTGTGTTATGTTGTCCTCAGGGGATTGGGGGTTATGACACGCAATATGCAATCGTAATAAACTAAGCACTAGCATAAGGAAACCAACAATAAGCTAAGCAAATCATAAGTCATAACAAAATTAAGACTATGGTAACTAAACAAAATAACATAAACACATATGAACAAGATGTAAACACGAAATAAAGAAATAGGACTCAAGCTAGGGAGCATTATCTTCTAGATGCATAGCACAACATAAGGATTGGGGAAAATCACACAACCAAGGAATAGAGGGGATGCACGTAGGAATTCGAGTCTATAAGTCACTCACGTGAGTAAATTAATAAGGATTAGAAAAAGAAATTGCCCCAGTCTCGTGGTGAATCAACTCCAAGTTTTTCAAGAACACAAAGCATCTAAAACCCCCAATTTCCCCCATTTTCATAGAAAAAATCGGGTTTAGGCAAGGAGTGGCTTGGAATCTTGACCCAACTCTCATTGAGGCCAAGAATCCTCCAAAACATGTCAAAGAATGTGTACATCAAACATTAACATGATATAAACACAACACATTCTCAAACACATGAACCCTAGGTTAGAGTTCTTCCCCTTTTTGCAATAATCACAAATCAAGCATCAAGATAGATAATACAACCCTAACTCAAGCCCATAAACTAACTACTCATCATTAAATAACATAAATATCACAAAAACACAAGCATTAAACATAAATCTTGCAAAAGTAAGAGATAAGAGAAATAAAACTTCACTAAGAAATGGATGGCAAATCTTAGAATCCAAGTGTTGAATCCTTAATTACAAGCTTGAAATATGTTGTGGAACCCAAATCTAAGCCTAATCTAACACTAAAATATGAAAGGAAGTGAAATGAAATATCTAGGGTTGGAACAAGGTCCAAAACCAAGTTGAAATGACACAAACACGTGCCTAAATAGAGCAGAGCACATGGGACGCCCTCAGGGATGGGCGTACGCCATGGGGTACGATTTATTTTAGTGTTCACTGGAATGGACGTACTGGCATGTGTACGGGCGTACGGCAGGGCGTACGCCACTTGCTTCTTTTATCATATCTTGGATGGGATGAGGGATGGGCGTACGCAAGGGGGTACGAGGCTCCTGAAAATTCCTAAATGCATTCCAAACTCTTTGATTGATCTCTTGATCCAAAAATTGCTCGTATCTTCCCACAAATCATTGAATTCCTCACTTGTTGTGAATGATTGCACCTTGAAATAAAACCAACATAAATTAGTCACAATTCACACAAGTGTTTAGGTAATTCACAAATAAAATGGGTCCAAGAAGGGACAAAAATATAGACAAAAATGCACTTATTAAGTATCTTTGAGGAAAGTTGTGTGAACCATCTTTATAATTTGCATAAAGAAGGCCTAAAGCAAGACTGAGCTAAGAGTCATTTTAAGTGTAGTTTATTTAATATTTTAAACTTTACGGGGCGTTTGGTTGGAGGGAAGGAATTACATGGGAAAGGAATTGTAATTCAATGGGAGATGAATTACCGGGAATAAAGTGGAATTTAAATTCTAGTGTTTGGTTTATATGAATAAAATTACTGGGAATTTCAATTCTAATGTTTGGTATACATGGGAATTGAAAGGAAATAAGTAGTATAAAGTCCAAAATACGCATTATTGTTGTCAGGCATTAATTTTAGGTTAAAAAAGGGGAGAGTAATTTTGTCTCAGCATTATCTTTTTTCTTCCTAAAATCTATGAAATTAAAATCCCAAGGGGGGGGGGGGGGGGGGGGGGAGGGGATTTTAATTCATGAAAATAAGGGAATTGCAATTCCTTCTAACCAAACAAAGAAATTTAGTGGCCTTTGGAATTAGGTGGGAATTAAGTGGGAATGGAATTTAAATTCCTTCAAACCAAACGCTCTATTAGTATTATTTGTATCTTTTTATTTAACATATTTTTTATGGGCAAAATTGAAATTGTACATATTTAAATTTTCTTCAGACTCAATTAAAAATCTTTTATAAATTTGTGTATTATTTTTTTGAGTGAATTCCATTTTTGGTCCTACTGTTATAGGGGCGTTTCCAATTTTAGTCCACTTTAAATTTTTTTTTGCCACTTTACAACCACTGTTATTGAATGTGTTCCACTTTTAGTCCACCGTTAATATTTCCGTCAAGAGGCCGTATAATCAAAGGGTATTTTGGTCTTTTTATGTTTGTCTCTTCTCTTTTAATCCAGGCGCTTCGTCCTCCTCCTTCGATATTCGAAGATGGCTCTTCGAACAACGAGAATGGGAAGCCAAAGCTACATCGTTTCGTTCGTTCCAACATGGGCCGGCGAGGTTTCTTAGGTTTTAGGTTTAATGTTCTCATTTCTTTATTCAAACATAGTCTTGGATGAGAAGAAATGTCAAAATACCCCTAGATTACACGGTCTCTTGATGGAAATACTAACGGTGGAATTAAAAGTGGAACATGTTCAATAATAGTGGTTATAAAGTGGCAAAAAAAAAAAATTAAGATGGACTAAAATTGAAAACGTCCCAATAACAATAGGACCAAAAATGAAATTCACTCTATTTTTGTTTTTCAGGAGAATGATTGTTTTTGAACGGAGGGAGGAGTGGTTTCTATAGTTAATATATACATTTTAGTATCAATTATTACTAGACTACAAATTGAAATGACAATAATAGGCATTTCGAATTGTATGTTGTTAACGGTGAGAGTTGTGTTAGTTTTCATGGGAGTAGTCCGAGATCAATAAAGTTGCCATAGATATATATAGGGTGAGTCTCTTATGAATTGTTTCATGGATCCGTTTTGTGAGGCGAATTGGGTTTAGATAGAAATATAATGCTTTTAATAAAAAAAAATATAATACCAATTAAAAATAAATTGATTGTTACTTAAGAGAAAAATGTGATCTTTTTGATAAAAATTGTAATACTTTTAAATAAAAATGTAATATTTAGGTGCTGAATAGTTATTTATGAGAAAATTGTAATACTAATCAATGATAAATTAATTAATTATTACTTATGATTGAAAACGTAATACTTATGAGGAAAAATTAAAGTAATAATACTAGTCATTGATAAATTGATTATTACTTATAATGAAAAGTATAATCTACTCTACACTTATTAGGAAAAATATGATACTTAGGAGTTGAAGAATTACTCATAATGAAAATTATAATACTTATGAGAAAAAGTGTAATACTTATGAAATAATGTTTACTACAAGAATTAAATTCTAACATTGGTTCGTATAGTATGGGTATTGATTCCCATACGAACCAGTGTTAGACAGTTCGTTTTGGGAGGTAGCAATCCTATCCTCTGCATGGGAGGATGTTAGGAACAAGTGTACTTAGATTTTGATGATACCAAACTTGCTAGGATTGTAGACCCCTCTTTTATTGGAACTTTCGTATTAGATGAAAGCTGCCGCAACTCACCATGTGATTCGGGCTGTGTAATACACCTACACGAATCTGAGTTGCATTTAGGGTGTTAAGACTACTTGAAGAAGTGAAGACCAAGAGAAGAACGAGAGAACAATTTAGACCGAAAGTTGGAAGGGTCTAACTCTCGTATAACCATCAAATGATAAGGAAGATCATTTGACTGAAAGGGAAAATGAAAGATGAGGACAATCTTTCGTGTGATTTTTCCGAGACCATAAGTCTAAGTCAGACTTAAAAGACAATTCTTATAAATGAAACAAGAAGAATGTTGTCTAGGTCTCAACGCTAGGCAATCATCCTAGACAAAAGGAGTCCTAGGAATGATATTCACCAACACTAAGGAGCATTAAATGATCAGTACTTCTTGACAGTAAAAAAGGTCAAAAAGCCATACTGCTTTTTGACACCAATGGCTACACAGTACAGCTGCATTAAATGCTCCATGCCCAGTGGATAAAATGCTCCATGGGACTAATAGCTAATGCAAAATCCATAAAATGTATTATTTTCATCTCAATTTCCTTGCCACCGGCCGCCGGCCACTTAATACATATTCCAAATGGCATCTTCTTAAAGATCATATATATATATATATATATATATATATATATATATATCAGGGTAGTTCTATTTGGTTTGTAGTGAGCAAGAAGTTTCACCATTGTCCTTATCCATGCATGAAAACCAACAAATAAGTGCATCCTTAGGCGGGATATTTGAGGGGACTAAGTCAGTCCCCTAAAAATGACAAAACATTTTTAAAGGTATACGTTCGTTTTTAATACTTCAACTCGAATTTGGAAATGACTAAACAGATAATATAAAGTAGGTACGTAGGTGATATTAGAGGTATATAGATAGAGCAAACCCCACTTTTAGTCCTCAATTATTGTGGCATTATAGATCTTATTGTTAACGGTAAATTAACGGAAATTTTAACGGAAGACTAATGGTGGAAATCAAATGAAAGTCAGGGATGTAGTATGACCAAATTAAAAGAGTAGGACTAAATGTGGCAATGTCATAATAGTCGAGGACTAAAATTAGAATTTGCTCTATATAGATATATAGGACTTAGGAGGCTAGCTAGGTGGCCTGGGTAGATGATATATGTAGTAAATAAATAAGTGAATTGGAAGTTCGTGCCTCTCAATCTCTCATTAATGTATCATATGCATGCAATTAAGTTATTATGTGTTTGTAATTGTAGACAAATAATTCTTAGATCAGGGCCCATAATGAATGGTATAACAATTGATAAAATTAATAAGAATATAGTAAGATGAGTTCTTCATAAGTTTAATTATGAGGCAGTCAAAGAGTAGCTTAAAGCATCACCAACAAATAAAAAAAAAGTAATTAAAAATTATCCCGGAATTTAAAAATAAAAATAAAATCTCACCCATTGCATATATGTCATTGCTCTATATATTAGATATTAGCTCCACTCACACCTTACTACATACAAAATGAACACCACTACTACTAGTTTATATTCATTTAAAAACATTATTTCTCATATTTCTCTTTCTCTTTATTGTGTTGCAGAGTAATAATGTGGTTTTTGTATCTTCTTCCAATTCCATGTTGATGTTGTCAAGTAGTGTCACTGGTTAGCACTCTCAAAAATGTGTTCACAGCCAATGGTTAGCACTGTCACAGCTCAGAGCTCTCAACCTTCAGTCATCCATACTACTGCCTTTGCCTTTGGATTTCTGCGGCCAAAACTTTTCAAAGAAGATGATGGAATGGAATATGGAGGAAGATTGTTGTAGTTGGGATGGCGTTTCTTGTGACACTGCCACCGGTTATGTCATCAGACTCGACCTCAGCTTCAGTATGCTGTCCGGTGAAATTTTTCCGATATTCAATCTTCACCATCTTCAAACTCTCAATCTTGCTTGCAACCATTTCCTTCTGGGTTTGAAAAATTGAGGAATTTGATTCACCTTAACCTTTTGCGTACGGGTTTTTCTGGTCAGATTCCTGCAGGGATTTCGATGCTAATGAGGTTGGTGTCTCTTGATCTTTCCGAGATGACCAATTCTATAGAGCTAAGAAATCCAAACCTTGAATCTTTTATTATGAATCTGAGTTCTTTAAAAGAGGTGTATCTTGATGGTGTAGACCTCTCAGCTCAAGGCTCTAACTGGTCTCAAGTCTTATCCTCTGCATTGCCTAATCTTGAAGTTTTAAGTTTGTCCTACTGTGATCTAAATGGTCCAATCCACCCTTCATTTGCAACACTAAAATCTCTCTCTTATTTGAAGCTTAGCTTTAACAATCTGTCTTCTGATATCCCAGAAAATGTTTTTCTCCTTCCAACATTGAAAACCATTGACATCTCCAATAATCACCTTCTGAGTGGCCAGTTTCCAGAGTTTCCAAAACACACCTCTTTGCAAAGAATTTCACTTTTTCAAACAAATTTTCATGGAGAATTGCCCGAGTCCATTGGAAATCTTCAGTCATTGAAAATTTTAGAAATTTATAGATGCAATTTCTCGGGGTTAATCCCATCATCACTATCAAACCTTACAAGTATTATTGAGTTGGACATTAAAGAAAACAGATTCACAGGTTCTTTACCCCCATTTCATAGTACAAGTGTACCAAATCTCTCGTACCTTGACATGTCATCCAATCTTCTCACGGGTGGAATTCACTTGTCTCTTTTCACGCTACCATCTCTGGAATACTTGTACCTGGATGATAACAAATTCAGTGGTGAACTCGAGGAGTTCTCTAATAATACATCTTCCTCTATTTTGGAGGACTTGGATTTGTGGGGCAATCAATTGAGTGGGGTGGTACCTAAATCAATCTTTGAACTTCCTAACCTCATTCATCTATCATTGGGCTCTAACAATTTTAATGGCAGTGTGAAAATTGAGATGCTGCAGAATCTCAAGAACTTGACAGTTTTAGATCTCTCTAGCATTAGTTTGACCGTTGAAGAAAATGATGATAGAAGCTTTCACTTGCCTCAGCTACAGATTTTGCTTCTGCATAAGTGTAATTTGTCTGACTTCCCTGTTTTCCTTAATAGCAAAGTACATCTTAGATATCTGAATCTTTCATATAATCACATCCGAGGTTATGTTCCTAGTTGGCTAGGGAACAACACTCTCCAGACGTTGGATCTTTCTGGAAATCCATTAGATTTTCTTGAGCCATCATCATCTCAGGGAAATAATTCATTTGTGTCACTATACCATCTGGTGATGCATTCTTGCAACATTTCTACATTCCCCAAGTTTTTGAAAGGCCTCCATTCTTTATCATTTCTTGACCTTTCTGATAACATGATAGAAGGTGAAATACCAAGCTGGATATGGAAGAATCAACTTCAATTTTTGGATCTTTCTAACAATCTTTTATATGCCCTTGATGAATTTTACTTAAATATTTCTTTAGATGTGAAAGCTCTTTATCTTCATGGAAATAGTATCAAAGGATCTCTTCCATCCGGAATATGCAATATGAGCAACCTAATTGTTCTTGATGTGTCAGATAATAATTTGAGTGGTTTGATTCCTGAGTGCCTACTCAAACATGCACCACTAGTTGTCTTGAACTTACAAGGAAACAGTTACCATCAAATGCCTTTTAATTTTACATTAGCAAGAAATCTTGGTACTCTTAATATCAATGGCAATCGCTTGAAAGGGAAGCTTCCAAGATCACTGGTTAATTGCAAAATGCTGGAGATTCTTGTTTTGGGAAATAACATGATATCTGATACTTTTCCGTTTTGGTTGAACACGCTCCCTTCACTCAAAGTTCTTATCTTGCGAAACAACATGTTTTTTGGTCAAGTGGAGATTCTTAAGACTAAGTTTGTGCTACCAAGCTTACGTATAATTGATTTGTCCTCCAATAATTTCACTGGAATGTCTAGATATTTCCTGCAGAGCTTGAGTGCAATGGCAATGGGTGGGGAAAACAAATCACAGTCCAGCCTCTTCGAAGAGCACAAAAGATACTATCAAGATTCAGTGACCATCACATGCAAAGGAAAAGATATGGTGTTGGTTAAGATCTTCACACTATACGTGGTTTTGGATCTATCAAACAACAAGTTCTATGGCAATATTCCAGAAGAGATTGGTGAATTGAAATCACTAGTTGTGCTCAACCTGTCTCAAAATGTCTTCGTTGGGCAAATTCCAACATCATTGCAAGAATTATCTCAGCTTGAATCTTTAGATTTCTCATGGAATAAAATTTCAGGAATGATTCCTCCCCTACTCACCCATCTAACGTTCTTGGAAGTATTGAACCTGTCTTACAACCAACTAGCTGGGCCCATTCCTTTGGGAATGCAATTCAATACTTTCACGAATAGTTCCTACATAGAAAATGAGGGATTGTGTGGAACCCCACTCTCAAGAAAATGCATTGAAGATGATGCACCAACAACACAGGGTGAGAGCTTGGAAAGTGAAGAAGCCATGTTTGATTGGACGTTTGCAGTTGCTGGATGTGCGTTTGGGTTAGTTGTTGGGTTAATAATAAGATTCACATTCTTGGCCGAATTGATTATTACATGGCTTGTAAACCAAAAGAAGAAGAAGAAGCAACCAAGGAGGACCAAGAAAAAAACAGGGTTATATAGCTCTGCAATTAAGAAAATAATAATAATTATTATTATTATTATTTTTTGTATTTACATTATATTCTCCAATGTTGTCTCGTGTCCTTTTATCAATGTACTACATGCTTACTGCCTTTGTTAAACTAAATAGTGCATAAATTATATTTTACGCAATTACTCAAGCACCTTTTTTAAAAAAAGTAGTTAAAAAAAAAAAAACTAGAATAATCTAATGTCCCTAATCTTAGTGACACCAACTTGCAAGGTGCTCTCCAACTCAACATATTTGACTCTCATATATCCTAGGTAATCTTAAAGCCATGAACGGTACACATAACCACTCACCATGCATGGTCATTTCTCACTACTCTGAAAGTTAAATGCATCAATTTGTTGTTAGTTTAGTAGTCAAACTTTATGAATTTAAGATTTCTCAAATTTTTAAACTCGAACTTTAAAATTATTTTAAAAGATTCAAAATCAAATCCGTTTTTACTTTAAATTTAAATCATTAAATCACCCTAGCATACTAATTAAACTCTCCTCGGGACACCAACCCTTCTCTATGAACACTTTACACTTGAGAGACTATGGTTGCATTTAATTTTTGAAAAATTTTAAAATAGGGGAAAAAAACAAAAAAAAAAAAAAAAAAACAAAAAACAAAACATTTGTTTTATCACTGTTTTCTATTTTTCAGCTGTAAAACTAGTTTTTAATTTTTTTTAATATAAAAAAGGATTTGAAAAACATTTTTTTTTTATTTTTCTAAATACAAACACACATAACTTCATATATAATCATTAGAGTTAATTCTATTTATAGTCCTAAATTTATAAGTGATAGTCCACTTTTAGTTTTTTTTTTTTTTTTTTTTTTTTTTTTAGTTTTTTTTATTATTTTATTAGAACATCCTCATTTAGTCCTAGTATTATTGAGACATGACCATTTTTAGTCGCCCTTCAACAAAATCGTTGAAATGTCGTTAAATATATATAAAGACATTTCAATCTTTTTTATACAAACTAGGTTGAACCGCTATATCTTTTAGGTTTATTTTTTTGAAAAAAATTCATAATTGAAGATCGAAATGCCCTTGTATTTAACAATATTTAAATTATTTTGTTGATAAAGGACAAAAAATGGTCATGCCATAATAATACTAGGATCAAAAGTGGATGTTGCAATAAAAAAGGATTTAGTGGATTGCCACTGATAAGGATTATTCCCTGACCGTAGGTTAGGTGGTCGGCCATGGGTCCTCAACGCATAAGAGTTACGACCTGACCTGACCCGACTGTAACCCTTAGCCTCCCGACCTCCTTAGGGGGCTAGCCCGTAGGCCGCTTGGAGGTTAGCTCGGGCCGATCATTTGAACTATCTGCAGCATGGTCTTGTCTCATCAGGGATATTGCGACACGTGCTTAAAATCCCTTTGGCCCCGGCCTGGGGCTGTGCATGGGTACCACGTGCCCTCCATGTCGAGGGCCCGGAACTTGTCCCCTCTCCCTTCCTATAAATACCGCATTTATTACTGAGGAAGGGACTTTTCACCTACATACTTTAGAACCAGTACGATAAGCCCGGAGGCTACCGACCCACTGTCAAGAGTCCCGAGCTTGAGTACTTAAACTAACAAGCAGACCAGGAGAGAGATCCAACCTGACATCGTTCCTAGTACAGTATTCGTAGTCATACCGATCGTATATACTACATCAGCCACCTATAAATCTAGGACCAAAAATGAACTTAACTCTAATCATTATTATCATTACCTAAAAACTTTCACTTCACTTATCTATTTACTATATCATCTGCCTACCCACACTTATCTATTTATCTTCGCATAACCGCTCTTATCCACAAAAGGTAAAAAAAATTCGCTCTCAAGCCCCACACCACGACCCAACGTGATAGTAGAGGGATAAATTAAAACGACTCTAAAATCAAAAGCAGCCAAAGATTCCAACTGCTCAGACAAGTTTTGTAGTGAGCAATAAGTTTCAGAAAATCCAACTTTAGACAACTTAGGAGTATATTAGTTTGAAAGATTCAAACATGTAAAAGCAAGAACTGAAGTGCATCCTCAGGCGGGATATTTGAGGTGCCTAAGCTCAGGCCCTAAGAATGACAAAACATTTTAGTCAACCTAGCTAGATAGCTTTGATCTTGCGAAGAGAATGGCCACCGTAAATACGGCATTTTTTTTTATAAGCAAAGAAATAATTTAATTAATTTAAATTATACGACATTTAATTTTGGCGTAATAAAACACAAGGATTCACAAGAATCATAAAACTCCATACTTATATTAGATATATAAGTTTTTTATTTTTTTTTATTTTTATTATTTTTATTATTTTTTATTTTTTTATTTTTTATCACCGCAACTAAATTGAGTTTTAGATAAAACCTGTAAGATACAAGAAATTGAATAAATTGCTATGAAAATAGAGTGTACTCTTGGAACTTTTTTTTTTTTTTTTTTTTGAAAGGGTACTCTTGGAACTTGGAAGTTTGAAACTTTGGATAGTTGTGGCTGGCAGAGTCTAACTCTACGCCACTTTTGAATTCTAAACTATTTTTTTTTTATATGTTATCATCTTAATTTGACTTCGTGAATTTCATATAACTTGTCAATCTGTGAATTATCTTTACTTTTCTCACTATCTTAGCTCTCATGTCATATTTTCTTGTTATCTTAGGTCCCATGTCATTATGTGGTGCTTCCCATTCAATTTTTTAAAAAAATTGTATTATCTTCTCCCTTTGTATTGATAACCAAATAAATGATAACAAAAAAAAAAAAAAAAGTCTTTGATCCAAAAAAATTAGGAAATAGGATCTTGTGTCATAAAATTTTACTATTAAATTAATCAAAATTCGATGCAACTACCTTTTAAATGGAAATCAATATTTTATTTTTAAGTGTAATTTGACAGTCGGTAGGAAAGTTATACTATTTAGCTTAACAAACGCTTTAAGCATATATACTAAGTAGACAAGAACATAATTTAGGAATTGTGAAAATGTAAATATAAACCAAAAGTTAACTTCTTAATTGGGAGTTGATAATCATATTTTTTTCTTGTTCCTTCTCGGCTGCTTCTTCATCTGTTTTACAAGCCACATAATAATTATTTCTGCCAAAAATTTGAATCCAATTATTAATCCAACAACTAATCCAAACCCACATCCAGCAACTGCAAACCTCCAATCAAACATGGCTTCACTTTCCAAGCTCTCCTCCTGTGCTCCTCGTGCATCATTTTCACTACTACATTTTCTTGAGAGTGGGATTCCACACAGTCCCTCATTTCCTATGTAGGAACTATTCGTGAAAGTATTGAATTGGCTTCCCAAAGGAATGCGGCCTGCTAGTTGGTTGTAAGACAAATTCAGTACTTCTAAGAAAGTCAGACTAGTGAGTTGCGGAGGAATCATCCCTGAGAATTTATTTTGTGAGAAATCTAAAGATTCAAGTTGAGATAACTCTTCTAATGATGTTGGAATCCGCCCATCAAAAACATTTCGAGACAGGTTGAGCACAATCAACGACTTTAGTTCACCAATCTCCTCTGGGACATTTCCATGGAACCAGTTGTTTGATAGATCCAAAGACACATATATTGTCAAGATCTTAACCAACACCATCTCATTTCCTTTGTTTACAATGGTCACTGAATCTCGATAGTACCAATCATACTCTCCAACGATGACATTCTTCGTTGATTTATTTCTTTCAGTCATAGCCATTGCACTTAAGCTCTGGAAGAAATCTCTAGACAGCTCCCCTGTGAGATTGTTGGAAGATAGATCAACTATACGTAAGTTTGGTAGAACATGTTTTGTCCCATGAATCTTCACCTGACCATAAAACATGTTATTTCTCAAGACAAGAACTTTGAGTGAAGGGAGTTTTACCAACCAAAATGGGAATGAATCAGATATCATGTTATTTCCTAAATCAAGAATCTCCAAACTTTTGCAATTTGCCAGTGATCTTGGCAGCTTCCCTTTCAATCTATTGCCGTTGATATTCAGAGTCCGAAGACTATGGGCAAACGTAAAATTAGAAGGCATTTGATGGTATCTGTTTCCTTTCAAGTTGAAAACAGACAGAGTTGCAAGTTTGGCCAGGCACTCCGGGATCAAGCCACCCAAATTATTATCTGATGCATCAAGAATCTCCAAGCTGCTCATATTGCATATTGTGGATGGAAGAGATCCTTTGATACGATTTCCATGAAGATAAAGAGCATACATATTTATTAATGAAGCATTTGGGTAATATTCATCAAAGACTGATAATAGATTGTGAGAAATATTCACATATTCAAGATTATTCTTCCATATCCAGCTTGGTATTTCACCTTCTATCTTGTTATCAGAAAGGTCAAGATACTCTAAAGCATTAAGGCCTTTCAAAATCTCAGGGAACTTAGAAATGTTACAAGAACGCATCTCCAGGTCTAAATATTCCAAGTTCTTGGGGTTTCCCAACATCCCAAATTTCACAATGCTATTAAAGTTGTTAGAGGCCAATGATAGATGAAAGAGTTTAGGAAGCTCAAAGATTGATTTAGGTACCACCCCTCTCAATTGATTGCCATCCAAATTCAAAAACTCTAAAACAGAGGAAGATGTATTAGGGAACGCCTCAATTTCACCACTGAATTTGTTATCATTGAGGCGCAATTGTGCCAGAGATGGTAGTGTGAAAACAGTAGAGTGAATTTCACCGGTGAGAAGATTGGATGACATGTCAAGGTATGATAGATTTGGCACACTTGTACTATGAAATGGGGGTAAAGAACCTGTTAATCTGTTTTCTTTAACGTCCAACTCAATAATACTTGTGAGGTTTGCTAGTGATGACGGGATTGAACCCCAGAAATTGCAGTAAGAAATATCTAAAACTTTCAGTGACTGAAGATTATTTCCTATGGACTGAGGCAATTCTCCATGGAAATCTGTTAGTAGAAGTGAAATCATTTGCAAAGAGGTGTGTTTTGGAAACTCTGGAAACTGGCCTCTCAGAAGTTTATTACCGGAGATGTCAATGACTTTCAATTTTGGAAGGCGAAAAACATTTTTTGGGAAATCTCCATATAACTCACAACCAGCCAAATTGAGAGTTTCCAAGTTCATGAAATTCTCCAAAATAGTGGGAACCTCAGAAGATAGCTTGTTGTATTCAAGATGTATAGAAGACAGAGATTTTAGGTTTGCAAATGTAGGGTGGATAGGACCATTGAGACTACAATCGGACAAACTTAAAACCTCAAGATGAGGAAATGTAGTAGAGGATAAGGCTTGAGACCAGTTAGAGCCTTGAGCTGAGAGGTCTACACCATCAAGATACACCTCTTCTAAAGAATTCAGATTCATAATAAAAGATTCAAGATTTGGTTTTCTTAACTCAACATAAGCGGACATCCAAGAAAGATCAAGAGACACCAACCTTGTCAGCCTCGAAATCCCCATAGGAATCTGACCAGTAAAACCGTTATACGAAAGGTTAAGGTGAGTCAAATTCCTGAGTTTCTCGAACCCGGAAGGAAATGGAGTGGAGTTGAAATTGTTGCAAGAAAGATTGAGAGTTTGAAGATGGTGAAGATTGAAAATGGGAAAAATTTCACCGGACAGCATACTGTAACTGAGGTCGAGTCCGATGACATAACCGGTTGCAGGGTCACATGAAACGCCACCCCAACTACAACAATCCTCCTCCTCCTCCATATTCCATTCCATCACCTTCATTGAATAGTTATGCCAGCATTCAATACTTGGAGTCGTTGCCGGTGCAGGAGGGTTGAGATCTCTCAGTTGTGCCAATGCCAATTTTTGGCTGTGTACACATCTTTTTTGAGCTGTTGATGATGAAGACACAACCACATTACTGTGCAATGCAAAACACAGAAATATGACCCCAAGTATCTTCAAATGATTGTAAAGATAATATCCCATTTTTAATTTGAAGATAGAATAGATGATACTAAGCTGCGCTTTGATATATATATATAGTAGGGCGGGCGACTGCAGGGGTTAACAGCTAATTTTCGATCAGACCCATGCATGCAGGATTTCTGATCAGATCTTTTCCGCTCAAATTCCTTGCCGCCGGCCGGCCGGTTATAAGCGGTTAATATAATATTCCAAATGCATCTTCGATCTTGAATTCATCAAGTAATTTTCAGTGAAAGATTCAAACACCCTACATGTAAATAAAATATAAACTTCATATCATGCATGCCCGCAGATAAGTTGGCAACTAAAAGACGATAATTAATGTCTTCTATGTTCACAAATCATATATCTTCATTGAGTTGATTGTTTTCAAAATCAAATTTGGCCTGGGTCAGAAACAGGTTTCTGTATTTTTTATTAATTAGAAAACTGTTGAGGACAAACTAATGATATGCAAGATCCGTTGCGAGTCATGGAAGGTCCTATCTCACGGGTAAGGGTAAAGAAGTTGTAAGAAGTTTTAAATGGTCTCATAAATAAGTTAAACAACAAGAACACCCAGCTATGGAAACTTAGTGAGGGAAGTGAAGCTAAATATGTCAATTTGGTTGCGGTCCAGGATTGAGTTTAATGATACTTGCAAATAAAAATTGAATTTTGAATTCAGTTTTTGAGATAGTAGCTAACCTTTAGCCCTCTTTTTAGTTATTTTTTTCTTTTAGTTAGCTGAAAATAAGGTTATCATAGTAGTATAAATAGCCTCTTTATTTTCGAATTTCGTTAATTATGTTCTTGTCAATGTAAATAGTGCATGTGCCGTAGTTCCTAAATTATGTGCGTCCAACTGTCAAATTACTCTTTAAAAAAAAGTTTGATTTCCATTTAAAAGGTAGTTGCATCGAATCTTGATAAATTTGATAGTCAAATTTTATGACACAAGACCCTATTTCCTAATTTTGGGATCAAGGACCTTTTTTTTTTTTTTTTTTTTTTTTTTGGTTATCATTATTTGGTTGTTACATTGAATTTTTTCAATACAAAGGGCGAAGATAATTCAACTTTTTTGTTTAAAAAAAAAAAAAAAGAATTTGAAGCACCTGACATGGGACCTAAGATAGCATGAAAATATGACATGAGACCTAAGATAGCAAGAAAATGAAAGATAATTCATAGATCAACAAGTTATATGAAATTCACAAAGTTAAATTCTGATGATATCATGTTAAAAAAAAATTCCATAGTTTAGAATTCAAAGGTGACATACAGAGTTAGACTCTGCCAACCGCAGTTATCCAAACTTCCGAGAGTACACTCTATTTTCAAAACGATTTGTTCAATTTCTTGTATCTCATATGTTTTATCTAAAACTCAATTAAGTTGCGGTGATACAAAAAAAAAAAAAAAAAAAAACTTATATCTAATATAAGTATGGAGTTTTTTTGGTTCTTGTGAATCCTTGTGTTTCATTATGCCAAATTAAATGGCCGTATTTGCGGTGGCCATTCTCTTCACTAGCTCCTCTCACGATAAAGGTACATGAAATGAACATAGCTGCAACCATGAAGCATCACAAAGCGAGTAGTTATGCTTGTTAGGACTCTAGTATTAGTAGTCTAGTAGAACTCTTTGTACTTGTCTTCTATATTAGTATTGTACAGACTATTATTCGTTTCAGTTAATCAATACAATCCTCATTTGGTATCATATCTAGGTTTCTTTCCATGGCAGCTTTGGGTAGGAATGACGATGGATCTGTTCGTGATTCTTCAGAACGGACCGTCTCCGAGGTTGCCTCTACCCCCGTTTATCCGTCTCCGAGCTTGTCCAGTGCTCATCACTTTGTGTCGATCAAGCTCACCGCACACAATTATCTGTTCTGGCGTACCCAGATGCTCCCGTTTCTCGAAGGTCAGGGGGTGTTGGGATTTGTTGACGGCTCGGTGGAATGCCCAGTGGCTGCCTCGCCGGAGTCGTCGACGGCGGACAGCGGCAGTACCGCCTCGGCAGTAGCGTCGCCGGTGGTGCAGTGGCGTCGGCAGGACAAGGCTGTCCTGTCTCTCTTGATCTCGTCCCTGTCGGACGAGATGCTACCGTTGGCGGTGGGCCAGCCGACGTCGTGTAAGTTGTGGTTGGCAATTGAGCAAGAGCTCGGCTCGGCAATGCGGTCTCGCGCGGTTCGTTTGCTCAGTGAGCTGCAGCGTTTGTCGCAGGGGGCTTCATCGGTTTCTGATTATTTGAATCGGGCGCGGATTTTGGTGGAAGATTTGGCCCTTGCTGGGCGTCCGGTTCCTCTTGATGAGCAGAATATTTATGTCTTCCGTGGACTGCGGTCGGATCTTCGCCCGCTTGTTGCTCCGTTGACTCGTGGTGACCCGGTAACTCTTTCGGATCTTTCCGATTATTTAATTTCTCAAGAATATATCTGCGCAGGTGATGGTCCGGTTGGTGCGCCGGCTGCCTTGACCGTTCACCGTGGTGGCCGAGGCGGTCGTGGCAGAGGCCGGTTCTCCCGAGGTGGCTCGGGCAGTGGGGGTTCCGGCGGCAGTGGTTCGGGCAGCGGCGGCCGTGGTCGCGGCGGCCGGGGCCGTGGCCGTGGTCGCTCGGATGTGCGTTGTCAAATTTGTGACAAGATTGGGCACTCGACGGTGAATTGTTGGCGCCGTTATTCTGAGTCGTCTGGTCCTCAGGCTAATGTGGCTCCTTCTGGTGGTGAGGGTGGTTCGGTTGACTCTCACCAGTGGTTTCCTGATACGGGGGCTACTAATCATGCCACCCCCGATTCCTCTTAGTTGATGTCCTCGGCAGGTTATGACGGTTCGGACACTCTTCGAGTCGGCAATGGTGAAGGTATGCCTATTTTTAGTGTTGGGTCTACTTCGATAGCCTCGTCTTCTAGGGTGTTTCGATTAGATGATGTTTTGCATGTCCCTGGTTTGTCTTCTTCTTTGATCTCTGTTCAGCGCTTTGCTAAAGATAATTGTGTCTTTTTTGAGTTTCATCCTGACTGTTTTCTTGTGAAGGATCTCTTGACCAGGGAGGTGGTTTTTAAGGGGGGAACTTCTGGTGGCTTATACACCTGGCCCGCGTCTTCTGCTCGTTCTGTTGCTTATGTTGCTGCGCGTGCTTCGTCTTCTACGTGGCACAAGCGGCTTGGTCACCCTCATACTCGGGTTCTTCGTCAGATTTTGCAGTCTTCTGGTGTTAGCAGTTTTAATTCTAGTGATTTATCTCGTTTATGTTCTTCGTGTCAATTAGGGAAGTCATCCCGTTTTCCTTTGCCTCGTGTTGAAACTAAGACTACTCGTGTACTAGAATTGGTTTATAATGATATTTGGGGCCCTGCGCCTGTGCACTCTGTGAATGGTTTTCGTTACTTTGTTTTGTTTGTGGATGACTTTACCCGTTTTATTTGGTTTTATCCGATGCGCTTAAAAACTGATATATATTCCATATTTGAACGGTTTCGGTCACTCGTTGAGCGCTCGTTCTCACAGAAAATACTTTCTATTCAGTCTGATTTAGGGGGAGAGTATAAGAAACTTCACTCTACCTTTGAGTCTCTTGGCATTCGTCACAGGCAGTCCTGTGCATACACACATGAACAGAATGGGCGGGTAGAACGCCGTAATCGGCACATAGTTGAGACTGGTTTGGCCCTGATGGCTCAAACGTCTGTTCCATCTCGTTTCTGGGACTATGCGTTTAACACTGCTGTATACTTGATTAATAAAATGCCTACCAGTGTCTTAAACAATGAGTCTCCTCACTCTCGTCTGCACCGGTCTCCTCCGTCCTTTTCCTTTTTGCGTGTCTTTGAGTGTTTGTGTTTTCCTTTATTATGTCCCTATAACCGTAATAAATTGGAATATCGTTCTTCTCCTGTGTGTTTTTAGGGTATCCTGACTCTTTTCGTGGCTATCGTTGTCTGAATCCTGCCACTAATAAGGTCTTTATCTGTCGCCATGTGCGATTCGATGAGTCCGTTTTTCCTTTTGCTGGATCTGTTGCTTCGCAGGTGGTGTCTCGGCCTCCAGTGGTGCCGTGGGGTGTTGCCCCCATCGTGCCTGTCTCCTCTTCTGTTGAGGAGCCTGTAGATGATCCACCGGTTCCGGATATGCCCGCGGGTCCGGTTGACTCTGTCTCCACTGAACGGACCGTTTCGGCCGTCCCTAAGGCTTCTCGTGGCCGACCTCGTGGTAGTAAGAACAAGGTGGCAGGTCCGCCCTCTCATGTTATGGCAACGAGGAGTCGGGGCCCGCAGCAGCATGTGGCTCTCGTTTCTGCTACTACAACTCCCGAGCCGACATGTTACTCTCAGGCTGTGGCGCATCCGGAATGGCGTGAGGCCAGGGATGCTGAGTTTAATGCTCTACTGCAAAACCAGACTTGGAATCTGGTCCCGTACACTCCAGGTATGAATGTTGTGGGTTGCAAGTGGGTGTTTCGGGTGAAACGGAATGCTGATGGGTCTATTGAGCGACATAAGGCTCGTCTGGTAGCCAAAGGTTTTAATCAGGTCGTTGGTAAGGATTTCTTTGAGACTTTCAGTCCGGTGGTCAAGCCAACCACGGTTCGTCTTCTTCTGTCACTTGCTCACTCCCGTGGTTGGTCCATTCGTCAGCTGGATGTCCACAACACTTTTCTGAACGGTAACCTGGCGGAGACAGTGTATATGCGTCAGCCGCCTGGTTATGAGGACAAGTCTGTTCCTGATTATGTTTGCCATCTACAGCGTTCATTGTATGGACTGAAGTAGGCTCCTCGTGCCTGGTTTACCCGACTGCATGACTTTCTGATCTCTTTTGGCTTTGTTCCGTCCAAGACTGACGTTTCGTAGTTTATATATTCTGTCAGTGGTGTGCAGCTTTATTTTCTCGTGTATGTGGATGACATTTTAGTCATGGGATCGGACTCGAGCCGTGTTGATAGGCTTGTGGCTCAGCTGGCGCGTACATTTAAGATTCGGGACATGGGACCCCCGTCTTTCTTTCTTGGCATTGAGACGATGTCACTATCTGATGGTATTCTTCTGTCTCAACGGCGTTATATACAGGATATTCTTAGACGTGCAGGCATGGTTGACTGTAAACCGGTTTCTACGCCTATTTCGGTGGCTTGGTCTGATGTTGATGATTCTACTCCGTTTGCTGATCCTACTCACTACCGTAGCATTGTGGGTGCACTTCAGTACCTGACGGTGACTAGGCCGGATTTGTCTTATGCGGTTAACAGGCTTTGTCAACGCATGCAGTCGCCCACCACTGCTGACTGGGCGGTTATGAAACGTGTTCTGCGGTACGTGAAAGGCACTCTTGGTATGGGTCTCTGTATTCGCAAGTCGGAGTCTCTTGCGTTGCATGCGTTCTCGGATTCGGATTGGGCAGGTAATCCGGATGACCGAAAGTCTACAAGTGGGTTTGTCGTCTTCTTGGGGTCCAATTTAATTGCTTGGTCTTGTCGGAAGCAGCGGACAGTGGCGCGGTCCTCTACTGAGGCCGAATATAAGGCACTGGCTGATGTGGCGGCGGAGGTCACGTGGTTGGTTTCTTTGCTGCGCGAAATTGGCTTTCCTCCAGACTCTGCGCCGGGGCTGTGGTGTGATAATCTGGGAGCAACATACCTCTGTGCTAATCCGGTTTTTCATGCACGAACAAAGCATGTTGAAATTGATTATCACTTTGTTCGAGACAAGGTTGCCAAGAAGGAGTTGCAGGTTCATTTTATTTTCACGAAGGACCAGCTAGCTGATATTTTCACCAAGCCACTTGCATCTGCTCGGTTTTCATTGCTTCGGGACAAGCTCAATATTTCGAATGCTCGACCTTGAGCTTGAGGGAGAGTGTTAGGACTCTAGTATTAGTAGTCTAGTAGAACTCTTTATACTTGTCTTCTATATTAGTATTGTACAGACTATTATTCGTTTCAGTTAATCAATACAATCCTCATCATGCTGTGCATCCGTATGCACCATGCATGGTGCATACGGATTCAAAAACGACGTCGTTTTATTAAAAACGCACATCTTCCCTTAAAAAAAAATTCAGGTTCGATTCCCAGCAACAACATTATGTTGTTTATTCATTTTGGAATTTTAGTTCATAAATTATGGAATTTTAGTTCATTGATTATGGAATTATAGTTCATCGATTCTGGAATTGTAGTTCATCGATTCTGAAATTTTGGTTCATAGATTATGGAATTTTAGTTCATTCATTCTGGAATTTTTAGTTCATAAATTATATTCTGGAATTTTAGTTCATAGATTCTGGAATTATAGTTCATCGATTATGGAATTATAGTTCATCGATTCTGGAATTTTAGTTCATATGTTGTTGCTAGGAATCGAATCTAAATTTTTTTTTAAGGGGAGACGTGCGTTTTTAATAAAACGACGTCGTTTTTGCATGTATATGCACCATTCATGGTGCATACGGATGCACAACATAATTTGCCTCACAAAGCTATCTAGCTAGGAAATGGCTATTACTGAGGTAAATTGACTAAAATGTTTTGTCATTCTCTTGGGGACTGCGCTTAAGCAGGATTAGGGTTCTCCAAATTGGGCAGCCCAAATAAAATGAGCAGCCCAAAACAAAAATATTTTTCCATTTGAAGAAGGCAATTTATATCCTACACCACAGCGCGCGTTGCATTATGCGCCCAGATGCAAAACGACGTTGTATTAATTTTTTTTTTTTTTTTGAAATTTCCCGCCCCAGTGAATGGCAGTAGTTTTTTCTTTAAAAAAAAACCCGCTGTTTAAGAATGTACATAATGTTATACTAGAATACACATAATGTTATACATGAATGTACATAATTATATAACAAAATATACATACTCTTTTTAAAAGATAATACACATAATCTAACATAATACATAATAAACATAAACTTTTAACATAATACACATCAACTCTTAACATAATACACACAAATTTTCTGATTCGGATGTACATAATTGTATAAAAGAATGTACATAATTGTATAAAAAATACACATAACTGTATGAACCAATACACATAACGTTGTGAACAAATACACATAACGTTGTGAACAAATACACATAATCTCAGCAACTTCCTACCGCGCCTCCCAACACTACCCCAAAACGACGTCGTTTTGGGAGGCGCGCGGCGCACAGTGCTATGTGCGCCGTGGTGTAGGATATAACGATTGATTTGAAGAATGTGCATAGTGGACACACTATACATTCATAATTTTTATATATTGTAAATTCATAATTCCTATACTGTAGATTCATAAAATTTATAATGTAGATTCATAATTTCTATACTACACATTCATAATTTATGTACTGTAGATTCATAATTTCTATACTGCACATTCATAATTTCTGTACTATAGATTCATAATTTCTATACTACACATTCATAATTTATGTACTGTAGATTCATAATTTCTATACTGCACATTCATAATTTCTGTACTATAGATTCATAATTTCTATACTGTAGATTCATAATTTTTATACTGTAGACTCATAGAATTTAGGGAAAATTGTAAAAAAATGCCCCTCTATAATATGCCAATTATCAATGTCACCCCTGAATTATGAGTGATGTAAATATTGCCCCTCAATTATCAAAATGGTGCACATAAAGCCCCTGAGCAGCCCAAAACAAAATATTTTTCCATTTGAAGAATGTGCATAGTGGACACACTATACATTCATAATTTTTATATATTGTAAATTCATAATTCCTATACTGTAGATTCATAAAATTTATAATGTAGATTCATAATTTCTATACTACACATTCATAATTTATGTACTGTAGATTCATAATTTCTATACTACACATTCATAATTTCTGTACTGTAGATTCATAATTTCTATACTGTAGATTCATAATTTTTATACTGTAGACTCATAAAATTTAGGGAAAATTGTAAAAAAATGCCCCTCTATAATATGCCAATTATCAATGTCACCCCTGAATTATGAGTGGTGTAAATGTTGCCCCTCAATTATCAAAATGGTGCACATAAAGCCCCTCCCGCAACGGACCTGTAGTTCCCCACCGCTGTCCATCGCTGGTACTTCAAATCGATGGAGGGAAAAAACAACTAAATTACATATTTACTCCGACTTAACGGTGTCGTACACTAACGGGGAACCACATGTCCGTTACGGGAGGGGCTATATGTGCACCGTTTTGATAATTGAGGGGCAACATTTACACCACTCATAATTCAGGGGTGACATTGATAATTGAGATATTATAGAGGGCCATTTTTTACAATTTTCCCTAAAATTTATAATATAGATTGATAATTTCTATACTGCACATTCATAATTTCTGTACTGTAGATTCATAATTTGATAACTATGTGTTCATAATTTGATAACTATACAGTTTTAGAAATTATGAATCTACATTACAGAAATTATGAATCTACAGTACAGAAATTATGAATATGCAGTATAGAAATTATGAATCTACATTATAAATTTTATGAATCTACAATTTAGAAATTATGAATCTACAGTATAGAAATTATAAATGTACAATATAGAAATTATGAATGTACAGCGTGTCCACCATGCACATGGTGGGTACGAATCCATAGCATAATTTGCCTTGAAGAATTAATATATATTTGGAAAAGAAAAAAGAGTCCACCGGCCGCCGGCCACTTAATATATATTCCAAATTGTATCTTCTTATAGTAGATCATAATAGAGTAGTAGTTCTATTTGGTTTCACCATTGTCCTCATCCATCAAAACCAACAAGGAAGTCAGTCCTTATGCGGGATATTTGAGGTGACTAAGTCAGTCCCCTAAAAATGACAAAACATTTTTAAATGTATACGTTGGTTTTTAATACTTCAACTCGAATTTGGAAATGACTAAACAGATAAAAGTAGGTACGTAGGTGATATTAGAGGTATATAGATACTAGTTTTTTACGCGCATTGCGCGATTGGAATAATGCCCAATGTTTTTTTTTAAATAAGTACTTTAAAGTATATTAAGACAGGATTATATTGAAATTGTTCATGCATAGATAATTGAAGGTTGAATTTGCGTATTTAAATAGGTAATTCTTCTCCCAAAGGTTGAGTCCCCAACCCCAAGGGCCCCCCACACTCCGACCCGACAGAGCATTGTGGGAAGTTGTAAATCACGGTGACTCAATGGTTCAGCAGACAGGGCCAAATGCTGATACGCACAAGGAATCTGCCCACTTTGGACATAATTCCAGCACTGCCGCCGCCGAGGTTCAAACCTTCGTCTCTTCTCCCAAATACTACCCACTAAACCATTGAGCTAAGCCCGTGCGGATTAAATAGGTAATTCTAAGTTTACAAATGCAAGATAATATAGTCAAGATTGATTATAATTGTCAATAAAATAATTGTATAGGTATGGTTGAAACCAAATACGGGACATAAGGGAGAACAAATAAAAATTAGGACATAGAATATTAAATATATACTAATATTGTTTGAGGAGATTCCGACATTAGGATTTGTGGTTAAGTTCTATTAAGACTTTAATATTAGAATTAGATTAATGGTGTAGTTATAATTCTATATTAGACTTTAAAATTAGAATTAGACTAACGGTGAATTAACGGAAAAGTTAAATGGATAATCATATAATTAAAGATAAATTAGAAAATTTTAAAAGAAAAAATTAAAACCTAAACAATATGAACCATTCATTTGATTTAATAATTTGGCGGTCATTTTTTCTACCCAATGTTAATAATTAAATAAATTCGCTGGTCAAATCCGCTAGTATAATCCGCTAATGCTAACCGCTAACTGCTGATTGTCAAACAAGGACATTGCGAGGTAGTTCTCACTTCAATTTGTTGTGTGATTTGAATACTCTCGTTGTCACAAAATCTCTCAAGTAGTTAATATGGTTGGCTTTATTAATTATATTTTTTTAATTTTTTCATGGTATTAATAAAATACTTGGTAAATAAATATATAGCATTATTTTGTATTATAAGTTTGATATTTAATTAGAAAAATAGTGCACAAAAAAGATAATAGATAATGTAGTGAATATAATCAATTGATGAATTTGAATGTAAAAATTTTTACATTTGAGAAAAATAAAGACAATATAACTAATGAAAATATTTCTTTTAATTAATTTATTGATAATTAATAATTTTTTTTTCACTGAATAAAGACATTGTAAGGATAATGTAGCGAATATAATCAATTAATAAATTTGAATATAAAGAATTTTTATATTGAAGAAAAATAAAGACAATATAACTAATAAAATTATTTCTCTTATTTAATTGATTGATAATGAATAATTTTTTTTTTTTTGAATAAAGGCATTGTGGACACATAATTCTAAATTAAAGAAATGCATATGTATTATTTTTTGTTGTAACTACTAAATTATTATTTATATATAATTTAATAAGAGTAAAATAGAGTACTAATTATGCCAACTTTGATTGGGATGAAGTTCGAACCTAAAACCTTTTTTTTATTGAAATCAATGAGTAAGTTAACGGTGAACTAACGACAATTCTTAAAATTTTAACGGAATTAGTAACGGTGTGTGGGTATTTTAAGAAATTTTAGTGTAAAATTTAAATCTAATCAATCTTTTAATTAATCTGAGCCATTCATTTGATTAAAATCTGTGACCGCCATTTTTTCTACCCATTATAGGCCTAACTCTCTTGGGCTCTTATTAGTATAGTAAATTTAATAAGAGTAAAATAGAGTACTAATTATGCCAACTTTGATTGGGATGAAGTTCGAACCTAAGACCTTTTTTTATTGAAATCAATGAGTAAGTTAACGGTGAACTAACGGCAATT